AGAGTTTCGAAGCTTACCGCGACGACCCGACGGCAGGACATTTTAGCTACATCAGGACACTGGCACGAATTCGCGAAAAATACTGCAGGCCCAAATTCTCGAAGATCGCCCACCAGTACGAGAGATCGTGCTACGAATGCCAACGAAGCAACAAACACCCAAGGAAGGCCGCAGGATTGTTGCATCCCATCGTATCGCCAACTGCCCCGTTCTAGCAGATCCGAATGGATCTACTCGGGCTATTCCCCAAGTCGACACCAAGACGAAAACCATCCCATTCTGTAGAGCCCTGGAAGTCGTCATGTTTTTCATTCAGCCCGTCGTTCTTCGTCACGGGGCCCCTCAAGTCCTAATTCCGGACCAAAGAGAAGCATTTACGCCTCAGTTGACTCGGGTGGTACTTCGGCTAGGCCAAACCAGTCACCGAGGGGATTTTAGCCTACCGTTCGCAGAATAACGGGCTCACGCAGCGGCTCAAGAAGATGGCTTTCATGCACGCCGACGTGGAGCACAAGACGAGGGACGAAGTACGTGTTGCCGTACGCGAGGTTTGCTTATAACAGGGCAGTTCAAGAAACTGCTTGAGTTACATCGTTTCAGCTGGTGCATGGCAGAAAGGTCACGACGATGAAGACTCGATGCTGCCCCATGAGCCAGTCGACGACGTGAACGGAGAGGGCCAGGTGGTCAGTCAGCGAGCAGAGGAGACGCGCCAGCTAACCGGCCAGCGAATTGAAGGCCAACAACGCGTCGACGCTAGCCGATACAACCTTCGCCAACATGACGTTCGTTCTGAACCGGGAGACAGACACTGGGTGTGGAAACCGATACGACGCCGTGGCTTCAGAGCTCTTGAGACGCTCGCTACTTTCGACCGGACGAGGTGCTCCGTCGCCTCAGAGACCTGAACTACAAGGTGCTTCCTGACAACACAGTCGTCAGAACACCGTATTCCGCGACCCGAGGTGGTGCACGTCTTGCGTCTCGAGCCGTTCTGTGCTCGATTGGATTGAGGATTAGTTATGGCTAAGACGATCCCGCAGTTCAGTGTTCTCCGTTATTTGGTGGAGCTTTGTGTTGATATATTTACGGTTGCCTCGGTGCAATGCACTTTTGAAGTGGAGAGCAATTGCACGTGCATGACGAGAACGAAAGTTTTTCAGTACACGTAGAAGATTCGTTTTTCCTCTTGCCACGAGTGTAAAAATAAATCGTCCTGAACTACCTTGTTTAGTCAGTCTCACCCTAGCTCACTCCCGAACATTCTACGTCGAAGTGTTGGAGATGCTGAGTGTAGTATATAAGGAGCCGAACGTGGCAGTGCCGACTCATTCAGTCTCTTCCGAGCACAACTCACTCCTTCACACACTATCGGCTTTGAGTTTCCACCGACTCCGACACTCGCGACGCTCTGGGGTTGTCTTTATCTACCCCCTTTGGTGGTTCGTTTTTTCTGGCACAAGTTCGCTGATTAAATCTTTATTTTCAGTTTACACTGGTCGATTCTCCTTCTCTCCGCTACAATATATTCGATTGCACCACTTTTGAAACAATTATGTTTTCTTGCGCCATGGGCCATGGGGGATGTATGTGTGTTCAGGGGGGAGGGGGGGGGGGGGTTCGAGCAGCGTGTAGAAGGCCGCTTATTAGCCCCGCAGGCCGAACCGGGTTGCCAGCTGCCGACCCGTGGCTTAGAGGATCGGCGCTCTTCACGTCTTGCCCGAAGCCGCTTCGAGGGTCAAATTTTCGTTGACCTCACGTGACGTTTTTGTTAAATGTCAGCGGGTCGTGGGCGCAGAGATTTGGGTACTTAGGAGCGAATAGGTTATCGTCCTGAAATGCGACCCTTTAAACGCTATGCGTGCGGTGCTAGAAGGTCATCGCAATATTGTGTTTCTTTTGTTGTGGGCTATTTTAGCTGCAGGATCACTGAAAAAAAACCTCTTGCACCTTCCGTCAGTTACATCGCAAAAAGCTGGTGACAGCTGATTCACTGATTCTACACGCCAATTAGACAGAAGTATCGTCACTTTAAGGCGTACCTTATTTAATGGGTGTCCACAGTAACACTTACTGTGGACATGATAATATTAATTATTTTAACGCACACCAGCGTAAACGTTGTCAGTCTGGGTGTCTTTGAGTAACAAAATGCATGAGAAAGTGCAAGATTAAGCATTTTAGTTAGTTTATTGATATATAGAAAAGCAAACTCATGTCGCGTGTTCGCCCTCTCTTCTGTCGATTCTCTTTTTAAATATGCCAAATTACTCTGGTGGTACATATCACGGAACCTAGATCACCTGATTACTGGCATAAAAACTTCTGCGGTTTATGCGCTAATACATTTCGTCACCACAAGCAGCGCTGATTGATGTAGAAGTAAAAATATAAACAAAAAGAAGTTACAATGTTTTAAGATGTTTTCATATTTTAAAGTTTATATAGTTCCCATCATGTGATGCTACTACAAACAACCTGATTTTCGCAAATTATGCGACTTGTTTATTATCGTAAAAACAAATTACACGAATATGTTTCTCTATGGTAAATAATGCAAAACATACCACTTTCTATCGCAAAATATTTCCGAAGCCCAGATTTTTCAGCATTCTTAAAATATTGAGCCCGAGAAAACATTCCTTTAGAGTATTTCGAAGTAACACATGTCTTCTAAGTTTCAAGTGTAAATGACGTGTACAATTGTTTAATATTTCGGTGAATGCGCTGTGTTTCATGAAAGAGCCTAGGCACATTCCTCGACTACCTCCACAGTGACTTCTTCGAATCCACGTGCATCCGTTTGGTTCTGTGAACAATGTTACTGCATGACACGCAACTTTAACAGAGCGTCTCTGGTTCTGGGACAATCGAAGAGTACAGATTCAACAAAGAATGTTTTAAGAATACGTATTTCCTTCGGACGATAAGGGAATAAAATAAACTTCCTGAAAGCGTTTTAAATTCAAAACGGTTTTGGATTTTGTAAAGTGTCCCCCATGTAACCAATAGACCTCATCTTATAATTTTTGTTGTACTTTTGTGCTTTTGATATGAGTATTAGGTGTCGTATAGTCCATTTTTCGTTATTGTGTTCTGCATGTGTATTACATTGTCTATTGTGTTTAGTAGTCACTCCTATCATGGTCCCCGCTGGGGGACTGATAGTATTATAAAATAACTAAATAACTAACTCAATTTTTCTCTTAGGAAAACTTTCTCATAGCGTGACGAAAACGTTTCAGAACGGGTAATCAAAGGACAGTGGTGGCGTCTATTGAAAATGTAGTGCAGCGTTCCCTAAACCTTATTCACTTAGGAGGAAAGAAAATTGTACCACATTTTTCTACCATTTAAATATGTTGAAACAAACATAGGCTGTGTTTGAACCATTAGGTTAATATAATGTACGCCTGAGGTTCCACTGGCGCTAGTGTCTAAGAGAAAACGCGCGTGCATTTTGTCTCTTCACCAGGAAGTAACATGGATCACTTTTCTTATTTGGGTCGTACCGAATTATATCTACCTTTATTGACATTGTAAGAGTGTACTTGCGTTAGTTAGCGCATTTTTCTTTATCAACGAACGATGTTTAACTTCGCTAGATTTGAAGCCCACAGCTCTGTTCCGCAGCACGAGTGTAAAAACAAGCTATGATTCTAAGCAAAATAACAATCGAAAAGAATATAGAGCGTTTTGAAGGCTCGCCAGCATTCCGATAACGCTTATATATTGGATAAAATGCCAGTCTTGTCACGATATGAAAATAACCCCTTCTCGCATCTTTACGACCGGTTAAAACATTAAAAACCTAAAGACGTACGTGGGGTATGAAAGGCGTCTCTTTTTAATATCTTCTCTGACGGGCAGTCTTTATCGTGCACTTGTTTTCACAAATTTCGAGCGTGCGAGTGATGTTTTGAACGTCGAACAAGCATTTTCACACAGTGCAGAAAGAAGAAACAGTACTTATAGAACATGTAGCTATATTACCCGGCCTTCAATTTATTTTGATCGTGCATGCGGAGGGAGGTACTAATGCAGTGTTACTGCGTATTTCTTGCCGTCTTAGTTTTTTAGATGTCGTTCGTTCGTTTGGCACGTATACAGCATCCCTTATGCTGAAAAGCGACGACGTCGTGTTCGAGCTAATAGTGTCCGACAATGCACATAAATACATGTATGAACCCGTTTTACTCCGTTTTTAATGTAATTAAAAACCTGAAATATGAAAGAAAAACGTCGTAATTGACGAATTATTTTATCTGCGTGACTTAGAAATTTTCCAAGCCACCTAGTATGTACTCACTTTTTCCCATAGAAGTGCATTACCGAAAGTCAGGTTTCGACTGGTTGCTGTCTGCTCTAATTTGCAGCAGCACACTAGCGCTAGTTGAACCTCTAGGGTGTACAATATAATAGCTCTATGGTTCGAGCCATCGTAATATATTTCAACGTTGGGCTTGCAATTACAGAAAAAGGGAGCAAGTCTCTTTTTACGCACCGTTACTGGCGAGGTTTTGGAGCGGATCCCGTGTGCGTATTGTAGTCGTACGTCGTGGCCCATTAAATTGAGAGCAGAAACTTTCCCGCTAACACTGCGGGGTTTAGCGTTGTGAAATTGTGACGCCACCGCACGGTCACGTGATATTATATTATGGTAAATAGAAGTTTCGCGCTAAATTTATCAAAAACACTGTGTACGCGAAAATCTGTGCGTTTTGAAAACAATTAGCGTGGAATTAGCATTATGTGAGTTGGTGGTGCCCTATGACGTCACAGTGTCACGCGATGTCAAGGCTTCACACGTCGTCACCGTGTCTTACGAAAACCGTCTGCTAAATTTAGCGTGGCGTAGGTCCGCTAAATTTAAACCCGGCATTAGAGCTGTGACCAGCAGTGAGCAGCGTCTTAGCTGTGGCCGAAGCCCATTAACGAAACACGGCTAGACACGGCAACCAACCAGAAAGTTTGTAGCGATCTTTGCTGCAGCAACTCACCTATATAATCGGTCTTGAATTCCGCCGGCTCTTCGATTTCGAACACTCTGTGCGCAATCTGTCCATCTGCAGATCGCCCCATCAGTGGCAGAGGTACAATCCTCAGTGTGGTGCCCAAAGACCCGCTCTGCATGTAACACAAAACTGAATTATGAATAATTATTGGTCGGAAAGGCTTATTGAACTTTTATATAGGAATGAACAAATTTCGCAAAATATTACGTAGCTTCTACTGACGGAAATATAGCCGCCATTTTGGGGCCATGCTGATGACCGGGAACCTCCTGCGGCTTGTATTTCTCAGCACAGTCGGATTCTTTAAAAGCTGTGACCAAGTAATAATCGCCACCGGCATGATTCAACAACGATACATACAAACCTTATATAAAGTTATGCAAAGTATTCATTTTGGCTTGTCAATGTTAATTTAACAGTTACTCACTATAGAGGCCCATTACACACTCAAAAGAGGTTTTCTCTGACATTTAAAGTGAAGAGGAAGGGTACCTCTTCACTTTTTATATCAGAGCAAGGCTGTTTCGAACAAAATGTTTGAACTGATGCTGCTATGCGACAATTTGTACAGTTTATATTAGTTTGGAGTCAAACCCGGATTGGCCACATGAAGAGGCTCGCTCATAATTTAATTACTTCGTTGTTATTGTGATGTTAAGGGGGTAATGTTTCGTTTCACACAGCGCACTTTTTCAGGCGATAGGTGAGATAATTTCAGTAGAACCTACCTCTAGCTTTGACTTGTCGAAAACGGCTGTTTACCATTACGTTTACTATAAACATCAGCCATATCACATATGTTATACTATATACTGCATAATGTTAGCCGTCAGATTCATTTTTACAATCAGGCCTTGCTTTTTGAAAAAACACGTCTGAAACCCCGCACGTGCTGTACCTAACGTTTGCCATTTCTGCACACTGCGATAATATCTTATCAAAGTAAGTTTTAAAATACATAAAACGTTGTCGCGAGTCGAGATGCATTTCTTACAAGCGCTTTCCGTCACTCGGAATAAAATGCGAAGTCCAGAAGTCGTGGCTTTTGATACATGCTGTTATATCTGAAGGATGCGAGAGTGTGAACATCGTGGAAGGCACACACTCTCGCAGAACCCTCTTCACTCGGCGGTTTTATCAGCCTCCAGGCGGCGCAGCATGTATCGAAGGCGACGCGTTCTGGCGTTCCCGTTTCATTCCGTTCCGGTGGTATAAAGTAAAGCAAGGCATCCCTGGCATGGAGGTAGCAATAAGAGGTGGTGACATGCCAGCTCAAACAAGCCAAACGAGATATTCCCAAGTGAAGACAGAAGAAACTGTCGAGGTCGGTGGGAACGCCTCTAAGGGTGCGCGATTCCGTTCAATAGAGTTCAGGGGTGTTCAAGGCCGCCCAATGCCGCATTTTGCTTTCGGTCGTTCTTGGGGACGTGTTCCTCCAAACCTGAAGCCTTCCCCGGCTTTACCTCTGGTGGCGCCATGTCGCTTCCAGAAGCTTCCTACTTCCATGACCCTTAGATATCACTATTGGTATACGCCATATTACTTGTATAATGCTGACAGCTTAAGAAATGCAGGGCGTGAACAGTCCCAAGCTATCTGTTACACTCCGCACAAACAAGATTGTAGAATTCGATAGTAAGAACACGGAAGAACGAGGTACAAGGCAAGAGTGAACTTCTGAACACTTAGCGCGTTGTGAGCAGAATAATAACCCGAGTTGTGAGAAACAGACTTATTCTCCCTCAATAAAAAAGCGCGTGCCCGCACCTCACGGAGTGTTCACAGTAGTATGAGGATAAATGAAATCTGAACGTCTTAAATTGAAGGCATGTTTTTTTTTTGTTTTTTTTTCAAACAGTTTCGGCTTCTTCAGCCTCGTATATGCCAGCACAGAAGGTGGGACGATGTATAACGATATCCCAAGTTTCTGACATTCAATAAGGGTAAAAGCGTGAAGTGAAACACGGACAAAAGAGAAAGGACGTACGCAAGGGGGAAGCGCTTATAGTGCTTAAATTATATAAACCAAAGTTTTTCTGACACTGACACCAGAGTGTAAAAGTAGTTACAGTTTCACACTGCCATGACTAATAAGAAATAAACGTAGTTCGAGCTAGAAAGCATAAAGGTGTAAGAGCGTAAATAAATTTGGTGTAAATCGAATATAATTAAAAAGAGCCCCTACACTTAGGCAAAAATAAGATATTCGAAAAGCAGAATAAATATTTTTGATTGTCTGATCTTGCCTCAGTCTAGGGGTCCCTTATGATTAGATCGAAAATCACTTCTATGCAGTCAAGGTTTTCGCACCGTCTATTTCCCGGTGTGAAAGACGTCATTAGTCTAATAAATTGTGTTTTGAAAGATATTATACGAAGATTTCTTGAATATATATATATATATATATATATATATATATTTATATATTGGGTTTCACAAACAAATTTACAGCGTTTTGTTTACCGCAAAAATAAATTAGCCATCGCCGAACGCGTATTCCCTGCCCAAAGGTAGCGCTAGAGGTCACAACCAGATGCCTAAATTTCAACCCGATCGGATAACTTAATCAAAAGTTATCAGTGATTTTCTAAAAATTTCGATGGGAAAATGGCGGCCGACGGAGTTTTCGAATACAGGGGGTTCTATGGGCACCAGAAACCGAAAATGGACAAAATGGGGCTCCATTTTCCCATTAAAATATTCGGAAAATCACGTATAACTTTTGAATAAGGTATAAGATCGGGCTGAAATTGTTGTATATCTTTGTGACCTGAACCGCTACCTTTTGGAGGTGATTGAGCGTTTGGCGATGCTATAGTTTATTTTTGCGGTAAAAAAAAATCCCTGTAAGTTTTTGTTTTTTGTAACACTTTGTATGTATGATAGTAAAAGGTAGGATTCAGCTGAAACGAAACTTTCTCATGAAACTCATGTGTCATTCTCAGTGGGAACATTATTTTGAACCTGATTCTCCTGCATGTAACATAATTCATGAATGAAGTTCTTTGCGAGTTCCGTAAATGTGGTGTTCTTACCACTTCCACATTTCCGTCTTTTTCCGTCACAGATACCGCTGCCATCTGACTTTGATCACGATAAATGTTCTTTTCCACTTCTCTGCCAACTACCTGAAAAATGAGATACAGGCACTAATATTTCGTATGAAGAAATCGATGACCTGTCGAGACACTTTTTTTTTATAAATATTTGTTGCTTTTTTTTATGAAGAGCAAAGGAGCGGACTAGAGTTTACTAATATTATACGACGCTCACAAGCAGTTTCTGTGAAAACGTTTATACAGTTTAAGTACAAAAATTTCATTGATCGCACAAATCCATAGAGAAAATAAAAATACTGCCACAAAAGGTTTTTATTTTTGGAGGGAACTTGAAGTCCAGTGAAAGGAATAAATAGCGAGTCTTAAAGATAAAGTTAAAATTAAAAATGAGGTATACGCAACCTGTACTTAAGGTTAATGCAAAGTTATAAGAAATACCTTAAACTCTCGGCATAGACATAAAATGTGTGAAAAAAGAATGATGAAAGTGACTCGTGAACCTTGATCCATTCCTTCAAATCCTACATCGAGATTCGCTTGTACGGCTCGGAAATTTCGGATTACAAACATGATGTGCATCTGTTCTTGAGTAGAAATATGCAAGAAAAGCATCATACTTTTAAAGGTGACATAAAATAGTGGGTGTACATAACACTGAAGTGTATAAGAAATATAAGCTTCGCCAGTAAATAAGACAGCTTTATATAGCGGAAAAGTGGGGCAGTTCAAAATAGCAAGAAAAGCTTACTACTTTATCCACTTGGTTGGTGCCATGAAGACTTGATACAACGAAGTTTTTGGCGAGTACGGAGATTTTTTCTAAACGAAGAGTAAGCTTTTCATTGATGTGCAGAAGTTTTTCTCCATTCATTCCTCTTGTCTCCAAAATTCGTGGGTAAACAACATATTCTGCGGAAGGTCCTGCATTCAAGATCATAAAGAACGTTCCTCTTGCAGCAGTTAAAGTAAATAACTGCAACTTTGTCGCTTTGTTTTTTATTAACTGCTGCACTATAAACGCAATTTTTAACACGCCTAATACTCGTCTCAGGTTAAAACAATCAAAACGAAATGGAAAATGTTAGACGCCACTTAATTTTGTGTTGTGACCCATAGTTCCAAGGGGACGAACGATCGATGCAATGGCAAAGAAAGACATAACGACGCTTATCATCAACGGGACAAAATGTCAAACATTATCGACTATCAAAGATCAATTAGTTCACAATATATTTAACGTGAATCCAAGAGATATAACCAACTTCAAAAGAATCGCAAGAATACAACCTTGCATGATTTTATAAAAACATGCTAGGTGGTTGATATCTAACGCATAAATGTGCAAGTAAAATATTTCATCAAACAAAAACTATATATATAGACCGAAGTTTACCCATAAAAACCTAAATTTCAATTGCGACATCAAAATATTTGTTTTCTTGGTAGCTGTGCGTTCACAAGTATTTCTTTCTTTAATATTTTCACAAGTCACCTGATAGTAAATCATGGAATACAAGCGCTCAATGTTGACTTATACAATTTGTTTAACTTTTGCTTGATCGTTTGCTTCAAGCTAAAGTTATAGACCACGTCTCGACCTAATGCCTTTATATCTACTTTGTTTTCAGCATTTTTAAAACACCTTTAAGCTACAACGCACTAGCAGGACATGCATACTTCCACGCTTTTGAGACAAATCATTGAATTGCGAAAATGTAAGTAAAAACAAATATTAAAAGCAACCGGAGACACCCTCTTTGCCCATGCTAGCACATAAATAGCCAATAAAGAGTGTCTTCTTGGGACATTTGCAAAAGAAGATTCTTTTTTTTTTCTGAAACAAAAATAAATTACCACGGAATGCAAATGACACTCGTCATCGTACAGTCCTCTGCAACTGCATTGCGGATCTCGTATATAAATACCCCTCTATAAAATGAGCTTTCCAAATTATTGATATTTTTATTTGTTTCAAAATACTAATTACTTCGCCCGAAACGATTGAAACATGTGTAACTACATTACAAATTACCACGTCGGAAAGGTAATGAACTGCAAAGACAAGTTACTCAATAAAAGTAATTATATGACTTTCAAATTACGTTTACGCTTCACAAAACAAAACTAAAATATAATTTATTTCTATCAATGATTTTATTTACAGAATTTACAGATAACTACATGCCATCGATATACAAAACGTTTGCCTATTTTCTGCTCCAATATATTGCCTCAAAGATATAAAAACAAGCGTCTAGCATCTTCGCAATCCTTTTCTTGTGACTAAAAAAGATCATTTCACCATCATAACTGAACCTGGCAGAGGATGCAAATATGTTCCAAAAGCCAGGGGTAGTCAGAATGAAATAGGTTTACTCTAGCTTAACACAACAACAAAACAATATAACAACACAGACGCTTCGCCACCTCTCCGGGTGGCATTACCAGTATGAACTGGCCCGGTGGTGGGGAGAGCCAAACCAGTCGACTCTATTTTATCAAGTCCCCATAAACGTCCGGTGAGGGGGCCCCGATTTGTGTTGCACGCCTTGGGGTCACGGCGGATAAACAACGATTCCACGACCTTCCTCGGGCCCCAACGCTGCTCAAGAGCCAAGGTCGCCACATTGTCCAAGTCAAACGCATGCTCAGCCGTGCAGCTGTGGTCGACGAGCTCAGAGTTACTTCTCGTAGCATGCGTGGCCTTCGCCACATCCCTTTTGCGCCCCTTAAGCCGAGCGCTCCTATGTCTGCCGGTTTTTCCGATGTACGTGGCGTCGCAGTCGACACAGTTCACCTTGTACACCACACCTGTCTGGGCGTTGGCGGCGGTAATGTCTTTCGGCTTCGAAAGCGCGTTCGCCAAAGTGTACGCAGGCTTGAACACACTCCGGATGCCCGAAGTGGTCAAAGCTATTCTAATCGAGTCCGAGGTTCCCCGGACATAGGGAATACACACCATCGGCTTCCTTTTGCCTTCAGTGTCTACTCTGCACTGCTGCATGCGCTTACGCGTGTCACTTATGAAGAATCCTAGATAATTGCGCCTGCCCGAGGAAAAGGAGATCCTTGTCAGTTCTTGGGACCGGAGATCATCGTTCGAAGACAACACATGTATCGCAACGCGACAACAGTGTCCGTACCACGGCGCGCTTATGTTCCGCCGGGTGATGGGAATCAAAACACAAAACGTTTCCGCTCTTAGACGGTTTACAGTACACTTCAGTCTCTACGGCACCACCACCCGCCCGGCGCACCAATACGTTCGAAATCGGCAGCACACCGTCCCTCTCAGTTTCACACGTTAACCGGATAGCCGTATGAATACTATTCAGCGCCAAGTGAAAAGCTTGCTTGTTCGCCTTTTTCAGGACGACGAAGGTGTCATCAACATACCGGCAGTATATTTTCTAGGGGGAAGACAATGAGTTGATGACCAACTTCTTCGAATACTGCATTACGAAATAGGCCACCGTAACGGACACCGGGCTTCCCATAGAAAAACCTTCAATCTGATGGTACACCACGTTGTCAAAAGTAAAGTAAGTTTGATTTAACAAAACCGCAAAAAAATCACAATATTGTCTACCAGTAAGTTGATCCGATTCCAAAGTGCAATCATCTAGCAGACGTTTTTGCACAACATCAACAGCGAACCCAATTGGCACTTTCGTGAACAAAGAAACGACGTCAAAGAAAGCCATTACGTCGTCATCCTCAAGCTCTTGCTTACGGACAGCTGTTACAGAATCCCGAGAGTTCTCAAAAGACAGTGTGTTCTCCTCAGTCAACGGCCTCAGAAACTCCACCAGAAATTTCGAGAGGTCGTAGGTAGGGGATTCAATAAGCGAAACAATCGGACGTAGAGGACAGCCTTCCTTGTGCACTTTTGGTAGCCCGTAGATCTTGGGGGTGGACCCGTCGGACAAAAAAAGGCGGTGATAAGAACCTCATCGAACCTTTCCTTCGTCTTAAGCCTGCGCAAGTGGTTCACAAGTTGACTTTCTGGTCGCGCAGAAGGATCCACGTTCAATTTTACAAAGCGCAAAGGTTCACTTAAAATCTTCTACATTTTCTTTTTATAATCACTTCTGACTAACAGAACAGTGCCCTTTCCCTCTTCCGCCTCAATAATAATGACGGAAGTCTCTGACTTTAAATAAACTAAAGTTGCGCCTTCCCCTCCACTCAAGTTAGCGCGGACGTTCTTAGCGGGCCAAGTTGACGCCGGATACGTCACGAATATGTCGCAATCGTTCGTCGACTTCTACAATGATATCCCATTTTGGAACCCTTCGCGCCGCCAGAGCGAATTTCAGATCTTTCGACAAAATATTCACGACTCACTTCTGAAACTCGTTTTTATTCCTCTTGAAACGGTACATTCTGACACTTGTAGATAATGCTGAGCCTATTCGTAGTATTTGTGAGTACAACCCGCTTTAAGGTTAATGCTCACCTCTGCTAAAGCCTCTTCGATTTTATGGCACCCTTACACAATCAAAAATTCCTTCTAGTTTTATTGTGCACATTATTGCCTCCGGAATTCCTGGTCATAATTTAGTTTCAGCGTAGCTAAAGCTGCACGTTGCCGAGGTCAATCAAACACCGGCGATATGTCACAGGACTTCGCCCGCACTTTGTATATTGCCGCGCGCGCAGCTAGCCTTGTTCGTGGCGCGCCCGTGGCCGAATGGTTATCATGCTTGACTGCCACGCAAAGGGCCGGGGGATGATGCCTGAGAGCGAACGCACCATTTTGTTATTTCTGTAAATGTCGCGTTCTGGTGTATTTGGGAATTCTGTTGCTGACTAGAGGTCCGAATCTTCTACGCTCCGAACCGTCTACGCCGATCGTTCCAGAAGCCCACGCGTGTACATAAGCAGCACCGCGTGGCGAACTGGAGTCAGCCTCGCCCCAGTGCTTGATCCTGCTGTTTCGCCGTCATCGACGCCAGCGACACGAACCATTTTCTATTTTGTTTTTGTGTAGAGGTTCGCCCCAGTAAGCGTGTCGTTGCTCCAGTTATTCGCAGCCTCATCATTTGTCATTAGTGCTACCAGTGGCATTTGCACAGAGGGGTTGAAGACAGAAATTTCATCTGCTCCGAAAGTACCGTACGGTATCGTCTGCTGCACGAGAGAAAATGCCATAACGTTCGGTGCCCAGCCGCATCTTCCTCTCTGCCGTGGTGCCTGAGCCGTCCGAAGTCCACGGAAGAAGCGGGCAGAGTTCTCGAGCTCTCTGAGCCGACTGGCGCCCTGTCTCTGAATTCGAAAGAAGCAGCGCGCTCTTTCTGCGAAACGCGTAACTGCGGCAAAACAAAACCGCCTTCATCCGGTAGCACTTGACTCTCCAATCGCGCCACGACGAGGTTGGAGACTCATGACGAAGTCAAGAGTACGCATTCATCATGATCTCGCGTGCGTGACGCTCAAACGTACGTTTGCCAAAGGGCATTTTTAAGCAACTTGATGAAAAAAGCGTTAACCTCAAAGTTAAAGCAAAAAAAAAAAGAACCACAACGTGTAGCAGTTGTAGCAGTGTTGTCAGCTGGTATGCGTCTTTCGTCAGAGAATATTCATGACTACATATTAGGAACGTATAACGTAATTTATTTCCTCTTTAATAGGGGTGGGACATTTATCGCTTAACCTACTGATTAATCAGTTGATGATATAATCGCGCTTATATTTTTAATCGGTGGATCAGTAAAATGTTGACAACCACAAGAAGCAAAAATGTAAAGTTTGCACCTCAAGGAGGTGGACTGGTACACCTGTATGAAGGGCAATCTTTAGGGAAACATTTAGCCTCAAGTGAAATGTAGGGGTGAGATTTGTAACTCCAGAACATCGCAGAAGGTTACG